GAGGTCAGCCATATAGATGTTGAATAGCGATGGCGAAATGACAGAACCTTGATTGGAGTCAATGGTCTGACTGCTACATCGAGTCATGGCACTCGCGGGGTCTCCGCTGATGCAATGGGTTCATTATCCACCAGCCCAACCCTAAAGATTATCAGCCGTAACATTGATTTGGTAGGTGAATCCCTCTTCCCAGTCATCTTGTCTTCAATCGGACTATATTTGACAATTCTACCGTAGATTTGGTATGTTTTTTCGAAGATCCCTTATTTCTCCGATCCTCAAAATGGCTGGCAGAGTAGAGGGTTAAACATAGTACGATTGGACAACTCAGATGGACCCCGATGGACGGAGCTGTGTCAAAAACTAAGATCAGAGATCAGATTAGAACAAAGACTGACACCGGAAGCGGGCCGAGTGAATCATAACTGCTCGACTAATCACCCCTCCCTACCACCTTATTTCCCAGTGAAACCCATCACAGAAAGACAGAGAAAAAGGGGAAGATGATAGAACAGAAGACAGTGCTGGCGTTGATTCAACTGGCCCACTTAGGAGCCGACGACTTCCGAGTCGTTTTCGGATTCATTAATGAATTCACTGCATTTTTTCTGGTTTGAACAAAATCTTTGTTAACCGGGTATGGGCGGGGATACCGACAAAGAAGCAGGGTTGATCTGGTTTGGAGAGGGTCTAATATGGTGATTGGACACCACATCAAAAATGAATCCGAGTACTCTGAGAGTTAGATATGTCTGAGGAGTGGGTGAAATGACGGAAGGAAACTCTAAAAAGAAAGTTCTCCATATCAACTGGGATATTAGTGGGAGACAGATGGGGACAAATGGGTTAAATTATAAAAGCATTCAAAGTAGAGCTGGGGGGAAAGCTGAACGCAAAGCATGGGCTGGATTGGAGAGAGAGAGAGGTAGAGAGAGAAATGAAGGTCGTATGAAATGCACCAAGCCATAAGTGGAGGCAACTAAACGCGCACGTCTTTGGGGGTGTGCATATCTCAGCAGTACAGGGGGGGGGCGGCGGGGTGTACATTAGACTTTCTGCTGTCTTCGTCGTCTTTTGCGCTTTCGAACCCGTTTTCGAGTTCTACCCAGGGGCACTGGTGGAGGGTCGGGTGGTGGTGGTGATGGTGATGGTGATGCAGAAGAGGGGGGCTGGGGCATGAGCGTACTTTCTTCAGGGGCGGTCAGGGGGTCCACAGTGACATTCGGTTCATCCGGGGGTGACGTAGCAAAGCAACGACACTCATCCAGCTTTGCGGTAAGGTCAGTCACACCGCAAGTGCTGGAGATGGTAGAAGTAAGGGAAATATCCAAAGTAAAAGGAGGAGGGACGAGCAGGCTGCCTACGTCTGCGCTCATTGTGGTAGGCGCATCACCTACTCGGTCAGTCAGGGTCTGCGCTTTGCAACGTCTCTTTTTTATGCGCCGCAGCTTCTCCGGTCGACCTGTTGCAGCCTCTGAAAGGCTCGCTTTAATC